TATATTTTTCTCCTTTTATATATTATAAATATAATTAATATATTACTTTTACAGAATATAATCAAAATTTTGAGTGAAACAGGGTACGCTATATCATTAGTATCTTTAATAATTGCTTTCACCATAATGTTTAAAATAAAGTAAGATAAATAATAATCTCAAATAACTGTTGTATTTAATAAAACTATTTTTCAGACGATTGCATTGTGCAAGAAACATACTTCATATGAACTTATTTGCGTCTTTCATATTAAGGTCTTTTATGCATATTTTAAAAGATGCGCTTTTCGAAGACGGTCTAGGACTAGAAAAAGATATATTAACAAATGATGATGGTGGCAGATATTTTCATGTAGATTTTAAGGTGATTTCGTAAGAATTACAATATAAGAAAATAATAAAATATTTATTATAGGTCAACAATTTTGAATGCAAATTGATTATAAGTTTGGTTCAATATTTTACTGCTGCCAATTACAGCTGGATTCTGATGGAAGGACTATATTTGATCAATTTAATTTTAAGGGCTCTATTCACAGACTCCAATAAGAATTTAGCTTATTATATATCATTTGGATGGGGTAAGCTTTTATTTATAGGGTAACTCCTCTTTTTACAAATACTAAAAATGATAGCTCACGTTTAAAATTATTTCTCTCAATATAATATATAATATACAAATTAATTCAAATTTATTTTCACAGTGAAGTACAGGTGTTTTTAAATTAAACAATATACATGGTGTCCCAGGCTGAGCGTGCATTAGAAGTTTCTAGAGAACTACAATATCTAGATCGGAGATTTTTTGCACATCGATTTGTTTTAGGAGATCTATCGATTAAAAATATTTTCAATATGGTGGCACTTCCGGAAATACCGGAAGTGGACAGCAATCTTGTTTCAAATAGGTACCCGCATTTTTTATTACATTCTTAAATTCTATGTAAACTGTTATGAATTTTGATATAAAACAGTCTATACCAAACATTAACCGTTTTTGAGAAAAAAAATAATTAAATTTTTTGGAGGAAAAAACTGCCTGTCAAAAAAATGTGTATAGCCTAAACGTCAAATTTACTGATTACCACAGCTACTGTTCCATAAAGAGAAGACATGTGGCTATCTATTTCAAAAATTAAATTTTGAATGTCATAAAATATTGGCTGTAGCTGTCATGGAATTGAGACGAAGTCATGGAATTATCGAAGTGTGTGTGGTATGCAAAAACCCGATCTAGATATTATAGTTCGTTAAAAACTTATTGCACGCTCAGCCTGGGACACCCTGACACCTGGGTCACCAATTTAATGGATTTGTCATAAGATTACTATTATCCTTGTATATACAGGGTGGCGCACCTCATTCGCCTCGGTTGATTATACGAAAACGGAAACATGTAGAAAGAAAATATTTTATGGGTATATGTAGGGAGACAATGTGCACAATTTAAAATTATTTTGAAATATACAGGGTATTTCAGAACTAAGATCCATACCACAGTTATATTTTTTCTTATGGAACACCCGGTATTTTATTTCATTCTTGGATTCCCGGGCCCAAAAAAAGGCTTTTATTATAAGGGTTAAATATGTTTAATATATTTGGTTTTTGAGATATTTAAATATATTTAAATTTGCATGCTACAGTAGAATAGATTATTAACACCCTGCAAATTATTTTTCAGAATTAAAACTTATGCTGAGTTTAAAAGGAGAGAAACAAACTTTAGTAAAAAATGGTATTGCTTCCTTAAATTTATACAGGGCTATCAAAAGTTGCTGATCTGTTTTAAGGATATATTTTATATAAAAACTTCGTTATTTCAAATGCAGCACCCTATATTATTTTAAATAAATCGAAGCAGATTCAAATGCTCTTTCAAACTATACTAGGGTTTCCTATACCTATCTAGCTCAGATTTTGAATAAAAAGGAATTTATAAACAAAATTGCAATCAAGACGGCTGGTGTCGCCATGGCAATTTTATAGTAACAGTTAGTAGCTATTTTCAAAGTCGACATTACTTTATGGACATTATTATTTATAATTTATAACAGTTTACTTAAATTTACCTACAATAGTTTAATAAGTAAGTATTCATTATTCTATCAAGAAAAATAAAGCAGTAGTATCTGCTGGTGGAACGAATAGATATGTTACCAGAGATTTTATTTTGTGAGGAAAATTGCTTTCTTGGCCTCAAGGGCTTATGCTTAAAGATATCCAAATAGGAATCTGCAAAATAAGCGTTCCTTTGAAAAACTACTTGTCCTATTTCGCAGAGCTGGTAGTGTGGTTTCTGGAAAACCTATTAGGCAGAAACCTGTTGTTGGAGGCGAAGAAAATTAATTTGACATAATTAGCTCTTTAATAGAAAATCCATATATCTACAAGTCATTGTAAAATAAATCAAAGAACTACTTATTCGTTTTTCTTGATAGAATAATAAATACATATTTAATAAATATCATTTATTAAACTATTGTAGGTAAATTAAATAAAAGTAAACTGGTATAAATTTAAATAACTCCATAGACTAATTTCTATTTTGAAAATAGCTACCAACTGTCACTTGAAACCTGCCATGACGACACTAGCCCTCTTGGTTGCCATTTTATTGAAAAATTGATCTTTATTCAAAATCTGTGCTAGTTAGGTATAGGAAACCCTAATACAGTTTGAAAGAGCATTTGAATCTGCTTCGAGTTGTTTTAAAAAATACAAGGTGTTGTATTTGAAATAACGAAGTTTTTATGTAAAATATATTCTTAAAATAGATCAGTAATTTTTGATACCCCTGTATAAATATAAGGAAGTAATAACATTTTTCTGTAAAGTTTGTTTATCTACCTTTAAATTTAGCCCACGAATTAATTCTGAAAAGTAATATACAGGGTGTTAATAATCGATTCTATTGTAGCATACAAATTTAAATATCTTTAAATGTCTCAAAAACCAAAGATTTTAAACATATTTAACCCTTTTTGGGCCCAAGAATCCAAAAATTAAATAAAATACGGGGTGTTCCATAAGAAAAAATATAACTTTGGTATGGATCTTAGTTCTGAAACAAAAAAAAAATTAAATTGTGCACATTGTCTCCCCACATATATCCATAAAATATTTTGTTTCTACATTTTTCCGTTTTCGTATAATCAACCGAGGCGAATGAGGTGCTCCACCCTGTATAAAAAAGGCTATTATTACTACTAAATTGAGAAACACCATGTATACATGTTATACAAGGTGTCCTAGAAATAAGTGCAAGTATTTTAAGGAGTGGTAGATCTCGATAAAATAAACATATTTTCTCTTTATCGTTTTTCAAATAAGTCCAAAATAACGGAATTATTTTACTTTGAAAATTCCCCCAAAAAAATGATTTTTTGCTAAAATTTTGAGAACCACTGGATCTTTTCTGGATTTTCTTTCTTGTAAAATTAATTTACGCCTATGTTGCCATATATTATCAAGAATTTTTTTTAAATAAAACTAAAAAAGATTTCCAAAATAAAAAATAAAATTCGTGAAAAACCCTCATAGGCGTGTTTCTGGGGTTGAACTATAATACTACCAGTTAAAATACTTACACTTATTTCTGGGACATCCTGTATATTATATCGATACTGGTGGTACTTAAAATATGACCATTCTTACGCTAAATTTTTGGTACTTTTAAATGTTCCTGTTGTCGTTGAATGATAGTTTCATGAATAATTTCCTTAGCAAAAGAAATATATACCATCGAGTCGCCCTCTATAATATTTTAGAATTTGCGATATTAGAAACTAGATCTAGATCTACCTAAGATAGTTCTAAGACATGACACCTGAAAATATGTTTTTAAAAGCCGTGAGTTATCTATAACTATACAGTGTTCTTAATAATGAGTTAATATATTTAAGGGGGTGATTCTCACGTACTGAGTTTTATATTGAATATTTTTGTAGAATAAAATGTCACGCCACCGACATCCCTTATAATAAACATTATTGGTTTTTGCTTAAAAAAATAAACTAATTTTACTTCATACTTTCAATCGCTAAAAAAATGTTGCGGTGACTGTATGAAATCGTTTCTGCATCGGTTGGAAGACAATTAATAAATACAAAAAAAATGTTGTTTGAAAAATTGCATATTGATGCATAGAGACGTGTATCAAATATGGCATGAAGATATCTATAAAAAAACATATCAGAATTAAATTACGAAAAAACGTTTTTTTAGAAAATTTTACCACCTCATATCTCAAAAGTTAAGATGTTTGGGACATACATTATTCATATGAAGTTTTTTCTTAGAATAGATCCAATAAGAATCGCCCCCTTAAATATTAACATGTCATTAAGGAACACCTTGTATGCTCTAATAATAGTTTAATTTCAACTCGAACCTATTTTTAATATTTATTTAATTTTCAGGTTTGCCATTATTGGTGGTAATTCCTTGGGTTATTACAAGAATTATGGAAGAAGATACTTACTGCTGGACGACAAATAAAAATCCTAAAGTATTTTCCATTATATTTGTGCCCACACTAGCCTCAGTTTTGGTAAGAAAAATATTTTTATTAAATATACATGGTGGCGCACCTCATTCGCCTCGGTTGATTATACAACAACGGAAAGATTTAGAAACAAAATATTTTATGGGTATATGTAAAGAGACAATGCGATTAATTTAAAATTATTTTCAAATGTACAGGGTGTGTCAGAACTAAGATTCATACCAAAGTTATACTTTTTCTTATGGAACATTTGGTATTGTATTTGGTTTCTGATTTGGTTTGGATTCTTGGGCATAAATAAGGCATTTATTATAAGGGTTTAATATGCCTAAAAGCTTTGGTTTTTAAGATATTTAAATATGCATGCTATAATAAAAAAAAAGTCAACCCTTGTACATTACTTTACAGAATTAATTCTTGTGCTGACTTTCAAGCAGATGAATAAACTTTACAAAAAAAAAATTGATTGCTTTCTTTAAATGTATACAGGGTATCAAATTGCTGGTCTATTTTAAATAAAAACTTCGTTATTTCAAATGCAACACCCTCTATTTTTTAAAATAAACTGAAGCAGATTTAAATGGTCTTTCAAACTATATTAGGGTTTCCTATACCTATCTGGCTCAGATTTTCAATAAAAAGCAATCAAATTGGCTGTTGTGTCTCCATGGCAATTTTCTAGTGACAGTTAGTAGCTATTTTCAAAATCGACTTTAGTTAATGGACTTTATTATTTAAATTTATAACAGGTTATTTTTATTTAATTTACCTACAATAAGGTTAATAATAAGAATGTATTTATTATTTTATCAAGAAAAATGAAGCAGTATCTACTGGCAGAAGGAATGGATGGATATGTTACAAGTGATTTTATTTTGTGAGAACAACTGCTTGTTGGCTTGAAGAGTTTATGCTCAAAGATATCCAAACAGAAATTTTCTTGACAAGCGTTCCTTTGAAAAACTACTTTTCCAATTTTGCAAAGTTGATAGTGTGGTATATGAAAAACTTATTAGGCAGAAACCTGTCGATGGAAGGGAAGAAAATGAATTTGCCTTAATTGTTTTTTTTTTATAGAAAATCCAATATGTAATTATTTTGATTTTCCATAATAAGTCATCGTAATAAAAATCAAAGAACTACTTATTTTTTTAATAAAATAATAAATACTTACTTATTAAACTATGGTAGGGAAATTAAATAAAAGTAATCTGTTATAAATTTAAATAAAGTCAATAAACTAATGTCGATTCTGAAAATAGCTAACTATCACTAGCAAATTACCACTGCGACACCAGCCATCTTGATTGCCATTTTATTAAAAAATCGCCTTTTATTCAGAATCTGAGTCAGACAGGTATAGTAAACCCTAACATAGTTCGAAAGAGCATTTAAATCTGCTTCGACTTATTTTAAAAAATACATAGTGTTGTATTTGAAATAACAAAGTTTTTATGTATAATAAATATTTAAAATAAACCAGCAATTTTTGATACCCCTGTATACATT